CTACTTCAAGGCTTTCAGAAAATAGTGGAAGTGGAGGTTGTACGAGATCACCGTGACGGTGATGGCATGAAAGGGGTGTTTGTACGAGATTAATCATGCTTCCATTGCTCAGAGGGATGACTGCATCAAGCCGAAATTGTCCAAAACTGCATTTCAGCGCTGGCGCCATGAGATATGACAAGTTATTTAAACTTCCTACATGGGAGTCTCTTGAGAGAGTGCAGCCTCTTCAGAGCCGTTGAAACCCGTCAACTGTGGGTGTGGAGTTCACACGATACAATTTCTGGCCCCTTATTGTGCCCTATCCAGGATTCTTTTCGACCTTATAACGGCGGGTATGGTAAAAAGGGGAGCCAAGAATTCGTACTGTAGGATAATCTCAGAAACCATGCCTTTAAACAAAGCCAACAAGCTACAACTCCCCTCTTTCTCAACCCACGGAGCGATTATTAGGTATTTTTCTGCTATAATTTTATAACTGCAGTATTTCTGTTTCGCGTAACCGAAATGGAGCAGCTGAACAGAACACTCGGAAGGGAACACATATGAATACGTCCCTTCACCTACGGCCTGCGGGGAACTAATCAGCAAGTGTGCGGGGTCTCTCAAACCAGTTGAAGAACCTCTGATAGTGATCCTGGATTCTTATTTGACTCAGACCAGACCTCATGGGAAGTTTAATCTGTGACAAAAGAGTCAGAGACGATTACCACATCGTCTCTGTGAAAATCACACCTCTCCAAACCTTGTATTGCTTTAGATTCTAGAACATATCCTGTTGTTCAAGGAGGGTTGTTTGAAGCAAGCAATTGTAATCTTATCTTTGTAATTCTTACAGTCAAGAGAGGCAACAATCTTCACTGGTATTCCTGTACATGCTTCTTCGTCACATATCCTGGCGATATAATGTGAAGGATGATGGATGGGACTTCTCTGAATTCCCACGCCTAGTGGTAGTGCTTGCGCGGTGGCTACCGCTTCTTTCCAATAAGAATTCAAACACCCACTTTCATAACGCGCGACTGCGCGCGATCAGATGCGGCGAGTGCGACGCGATTTCCGGGAATAAATTACCACACCACAGGAAAAACAGTGGGAGGATGTGCTGCTACCTTTACATCCAGTAGCGAAAAAGTTAGCTAATAGCTAAGCTGTTTCTTTCTTGAGTCCTCTCTAAGAGTAGGGTCAGAGTAGAGCACAAAAGAATGAATGTTCTCCCAGCTTAAGGAGTGCCCTATGACTCTACTGTTTACATGAAGAGCGCAAACAACTAATTGGTAGGTGGCTCTCGTCTTATGACTTCCTTCACCATGTTCTTTAGCAATTTCCAGTTTCTGCTGGCCAAGGTGATGAACTGGGAAAAGGCGCGCGCACACTACCACAGTTATACCCGAGGATTGGATCCCAGACTGGCACCTGTTGAAGCCAAATATGGCTACCTGCTGAAGACGAATATTGCCTTCCATCCTTTTGAGGTCCCTTAAATGATACCAGATTTGTCTAGGAGAATAAGAACTCAGACTTGCAAAGTGCTAGCCACTGTAAGGGCCCCATAAGCATGCGAAACGCCATTAGATCCTGAACAGAAGTAGATTAAGTCTCATCCCAGAAGCAAAGTGATAAACATCAAAGACTTCAACCGCTTACGTTTTTAATTATGTGTGATAATTATAGGCACGCAACAGTGGTGCTAATCTGAGGCTCACGACAGAGAGTGGCTGAGGTTATTAACGTGGGGGAGACTCGCCATGTTGAATGATATAAAGTGGTGAAGAATGTCCTGTCTGAACCCGCTGATAACCCAATTCTGCCTTCCCATTCACATTAGAACTTAATAAGATCGAAAATTCATGATGAAAATTTTTGTAGAAACCCGGCTCTGGGTCGTGGTCAGAACTACTGGTCGTGGCTAAGGAACAAGATTTCTGGACGAGGACCCAGCTTTCACTGTGGCCTTCGGGTTGAAAAAAATGTAATAGGCTCTGGACTTCACAGACAACATTTTTCATTTCACGAGATAACCTCATTTGAAAATATTCCTGTCCTATTCCCATCACGTATACGGAGCATTGAAAAAAGCCTAGGCCCAGGACATTACCTAGTTGGGTTATGACACGCTCAAGCAATTGAACCAGGTACCACAGGCGGATTACTGTAAGAGGAGGGTTTCCTTCTAAAGTTTCACTGTACTTGTATGCAGCTCCAGCCAATTCGGGTAGTTGCCCTGACGCAAAACAAACCTAGTACCACTTTTCCCTCAACCACACCCGAAACGATATCGATCGCTATCGATCGTTCGGAATTGACAAGGCTCAGAAGCATCTTCATTGATCTGTGGGGTCTCAAACATATGAAGATATGCGACGTAGGCTTCTTCGCTGAAATCACACCAATCTCCATCACTTTTCCACTTCCTCCTAGCTGTCACTGCTTCAGTTAGCGTGAGCTTTCCAGATCATTATCTTTGCTATAGCCCGAAGTGCTGCGGACAAACAGACAGACCAACAAACAAGGAGAGCCAAGCAAGGCTACACATCACTTTATCGCCCTAATGGACTTGATTCATGCTAGTTATTTTACAAGTAATGCAGGCAATGATTGTATCCCTCGTTTTACTAAAATGATATCCCCACAGTAGGCTATGTATGAGTCTGGGTCCATCCCATTCAATCAAAAATTTATTTTTGACAGTTTTGCACTGTCGGGACGTCCTCTGTGCTGAACGTCCATGGCCAGATGGTCGCTTGCGGTGGGCAGTCCGGACAAAGTGGACGAGTTACCTGCGAGCGCACATGTTACGTTGTCGGGCACAGTTTTCAATGAAAATTGCAACGAGCCGCATAGCCAAAGAACGCAATGGCTGCACGGCAACTTGAGGATATCGGTGCAATCGAAGAGGTTGATGTGGGAGGATATGAACTGGTCGATACTAAGGTTAGTTAAATTTTAACGTCGTTTTTTTTCACATTTGCCAAATCCTCAAACTTTTTTTTTTACATTTTTTCTAAATTTTGGGCTATGATGAAGTGTTTTATAGCCTAGTTTCGTGATTAAGGTCAGGTTCAAGGATACAGGTTGACTCAGGGGCCAGAAAGAACTGTGGGGGGCGATTTTGGGAATGGTTCAAGCAACTTTGGTTTTTTAAACCTTATAGGCTCTTTTCTAGTGGGTAAATAAGGAAAATTCAGAAGGTCTTCAAAGGCGGGGCCTCTTAATACATGAGTTCATGTTTAACCTAATGTCTTTGAGATGTTATAAATGCTTACACTGGACTTACTTGTACTTTTGAGGTAAACTTGCATTTGCTCAGTATGATGCTGTTAGCAGGTTCCAATTCTTTCCTTGTACAGGTAATTACGGAAGTCATTATTGGTATTTCGATAGTATGGCTGATGTTCCATTAGACAAAGTAGCTTTAGAAGTGCAAGCTTGAGTCATTGTTCCCTCGATTTACAAAAAATCGACTGTGGTCTGTCACCAGGTTAGCTCGGCCGTCTGCAAGGTGGTCCATTGACGCACCAGTTTACTGCGAAGTTCTCCCACAAGTAACCCATCTTTTTCCGGTGTCCGGTATCTCCTCCCCGAAAACGACGTCGCACTCGCCGCACCCGGTCGCGCGCAATGAAGGGATAGGTATGAATTTCCAGTGAAAGGATAGAGTATCCACCGCATAACCACCACCGCTTGCCGTGCGAATTCGGGAAGAAGTTCCGGCACCGGCACCCTGATTGTACCTGCTTCTTGTACTTGGATCAGGTCGACTACCCTGGGTTCTCATGCAGAACACGCATGGGTGTGACTATCATGAAGGGTGCTGTCTTTGTCATGATTTACTTTTGTTGATTCGTATATGGGACGGGGTTAAAATGTATGTCAGTCAAGGTTATGTCGTAAAATTAAACATGTTATCCGCGATTCTGCGGTCATTACATTTTATTTCACCGTAAGACCACTGTAAGAAAAGTGTACCATTCTGTAGTTTTGTTCCTGTACCCTGCTTCTGGGGTTTACGATGTCACCTGGTTTGTTTAGTTTACGAACATTTTTAAAATGAAATAAATAACTATATAAAGTAAAAAGGGGTTGAGGAGGTGGTCCTGCATGCCAGTTTTCTACCATATTATTTACAAGGTTCAATAAAATATAGGTGCAACATGGGAGCCTTCGTCAGTATTCTCTGTGGTCTATACCCACTATGACAAAGCAGGGTGAGCAACGAATATTGAAGCACCCTTTAGTAATCTGTGGCTCGAAAATGGAGCCTCACTCTAGTGGTCCTTTATGAGGGGAAATCGGAGGCCTTTTCTGAGCACAAGTAGTATTCCCCTCCTTTCCCCACATTTAATAATGCCTTCCTTCCTCAAAGAAATGGGAAATCGGTACCACTCATCAGCGGACAACCTTTCGCTCCATAAACGCACCCAATATTAGACCGATGCCTTTCTATTTAACTGCTTTCGTTTCATACCTATGTCGCTCTGCTGGTGTGAGGATAATTTGATTAGTAATTCCGAGTGCTGTCAAACGTTGAAGAACCGAAGTAAAAGTAAAGTGTAGGGATAGCTGGGCATGGATTTACAACACATCCCACAAAGACTACGTCGTCAAGGTATAAAGCCAGACAACTACCGTACAAAATTTGTCCGTAAATTTCTTGATAATACATATATCCAGTAGTGGTGTGCTCAATCTAGAGGTTCGATTGTTCGCCACAGGTTTTGTTCAGTTTGGACCAAACCCAGGTCAGAATTAAATACCTTCTTTCAGTTCTAACAAAAAAGTAGTAGGAATGTGGGATCTTATATTGCTCAAAAGCTCTATTTATTTTCAAGGGAAGTAATGCGGCACAGGGCCTTTTTTTCTGCGCTTTAGCTCGTTCTCTTTTGGTAATTCTAAAGCATAATTGACGAAATTATTTCTAGCGTGATTCTGTGGTTATCGAAACTCAACCACGTCGGCATCCGACGGCCGGAATTAGAAATCGATGTCCATATGGCTGCGGGAAGTTGATTGCACTCAGAACGATTGACTACCATCGGACTAATGGAGTGAGATCATCCACTTCCTGAAGCTTTATTTTGTATTTTGAAAGCAAAAACAAAACTGGTTGATGTTGATGATGATTATGCTTATTTTGGCTCAGAGCCTGTACTACCATTAGAACTTCCTAATTTAAGAGGTTTGAAGAAATTATTCCTTTATTGAATGACATTTGTTCTGAGAGCGCTTAAACTCGACTGTTTTCTACGATCGTTCGGAAATTACCTTCATCTTTTGTCTCTGAAATCTCAAGCGGAAACGCTTCGTACAAATCCGTCATAGTGCGCATCAATTCGCCACCAATTCTTTTGCTTATTCGCATGATTCCCTCTTCCTCCCAATTCACTAATCTTTTTTGATCCTCCGAATAATCAGTTTGAAATAGTCGTCCATTGTAGTGCCGTCCTGGTCATTCAAAAGATGAAAGTTTCGGTGACACTACAAGGAAGAGGTATTACTGCTGTGGGGTGTGCTATATGGAATTTGTCACTCGAACAGCCTTTCACGAGCATTTAAGCATAGAACACGACGTCCACCCTCAAATCCATGAGCTGACGTTCCCCAGCATGGATATGTTCAAGGTGAGGCCCTACTGGAATTTTCGATTTTTAAAATTTTAAAAACTTTCATTAAGTGCTGATGTTATTTAGAATTTACCTTTGTCTTGGGGGTGCAGATAATAATATACTCTTTCAGCGTTTTGTTCGTTGGTTAGAACTGAAGGGAGGAGCTCACTTCCGGCATAAATCTGGTTCAAAACGGCGTCAGCGTGGGAAAGGCATCTTTATGGCTTGCAATAGGTGAGTTTTACTTGGTTTGAGTCCCCTTTGAGTCCTTAAGTCTCTCTTCAAGAATTTATCTCATCTTTTATAGGAGCGGGTTTGTAAATTCAAGTAATGCTACTGGAAGCGAACGTGACCGCATAGGACCATATCGTATGGGGCATACGTGTACGGCATATATCCACGGAACCCAGCATGCTGACGGGTAAGTTCCTAGTTTAATTGATAGTTTTCCCTACCCCTTTTATTTCTTGCAGTATTGGAACCTAAAACTCTATGTGCACTTCTTTTTGGGTTGCCTTTTTTTCTGTTCAGCCATGTGAAACTTGAAAATGAGCTCATTTTTTGTGCTCGTATAAGTTGCCTTCTTAGTTTTTGCTCCCAATTCATGGAAGGGTTTTGCTCATGACTGATGTACACGAACAGAAATTGTTCGGAAAGTCGGAAGGGCGGGTACTGCTGAAGTCGTACAAGTTTTAAGCGTGCTAATGTTTTTCTACGAGAAGAGTAAGCAAATTGCCTGAAATAGAGTTTGTTGGACCTATTATTCTAGAAGATTTGTAGCTTTGGAATTGATGTCGAAACAGACTTTTATGTGTCTCTTTTCATGGATCTGAGACACAGATTGGTTCCCTTAACTGTAAGTTACTCCTGCGCCACGTCAGTTTTTATAGTCGTGTTTCTATCGAGATGTGTGGAGATCACTATGGTCATGATATTCGGATGCGACTTCCACCGATCATCAAATCGATAATAGCACAACGACAAATGGAAGGCGAAAGCAGCGCTGATATCATTGATTATTTGAGGCGTAATTCACTTTTTCTATGTTTTTTTTTTCGTTGATGTATGATTCAGCAGATTTGTCTGAGGAAATTCAGTAATTTAAAGCAGGAGCATTTGACAGTCCATGCGTTCTACTACAGCGATTTATTTTCCGCAGACGTCAACTCTCGTTAGATTACTGTTTTGCAGATGGATGATTTCACAGTATCCGTGTTGTTGGGTTATACTATTCCGAGCATTCCTTGAAGGGATTTTGCTGAATCTATTGCTATGTGAATGGGGCTCGATTTTACGTCATTAGAATCGGGTGTAGTATTGAAAAAGGTCAAACGAGAATTCATCTCCTGCAGTTATTTTCTCCAATCATCGTGCATGATGTCAAACTACTTTCGTAATGCACAAAACGAACGACCTGACTACTCCTTCATTTTAGAGCACTTCTTACCATACGCCAATGAGAACATTTATGCACAGAGAGCATGCCTTGTTGATAACGAAGAGTTACGTACTATCCACGTAACCACGACGAAGAAGTGAGTTCTATTAGCATCTGATAATGTCCAATTAATTGTAATGTTATCCTTTTCGATGTTCCGTTTATAAGTTTTTTTTTCAGGTGGGAAGTTGAAGGTATACCGACTACTTGTGAAATATGGGAGGAAGAACTACTTGATATGGTTGGCATTGTTCGCGAAGGAGTTCCGCGAGTTCGTCCCTTAAATGAAAAAACAACAGAAGAGATCGCGGAACAACAGGTTATCAGCGTTCCGCAATGTTTGAAAATTCCATAATGATAGAAAACGAATGATTCATAGACCTTTGATTTTTAAATCTACATGTATTTGCAGAATTGGCCGAGACCCATCGTGTTCACTGCGNAGAGCATGCCTTGTTGATAACGAAGAGTTACGTACTATCCACGTAACCACGACGAAGAAGTGAGTTCTATTAGCGTCTGATGATGTCTAATTAATTGTAGTGTTATCTTTTTCGACGTTTCATTTATTAGTTTTTTCCCAGGTGGGAAGTTGAAGGTATACCGACCACTTGTGAAATATGGGAGGAAGAACTACTTGATATGGTTGGCATTGTTCGCGAAGGAGTTCCGCGAGTTCGTCCCTTAAATGAGAAAACAACAGAAGAGATCGCGGAACAACAGGTTATCAGCGTTCCGCAATGTTTGAAAATTCCATAATGATAGAAAACGAATGAATATAGACCTTTGATTTTCAATCTACATGTATTTGCAGAATTGGCCGAGACCCATCGTGTTCACTGCGAAAGTTCGAACAAAGACTGGAGAGTTTATACCCCATGAAACACTTATGGAAGCTGAGCGGGAGAACCGTGTTGATCATGGTTATAAGGACGACTGCGCAGTGAGAGAAATTCTATCATAATAGTTCAAGCAGTAATGACACATTTCAATTCTGTGAAGCTTCAGTGCGTGACTCCTGAAAACGCCGAGGAATTTGACGTACATGATGGGTCTTACCCACCTCCTAAAAAAGCTCTCATGTTAGATCATCATGAGGATAGCGCAGGTGTGTTTGTTCTCATTAATGGAGATGGTTGGTGTATTACCACGGTGGTAACGTTCAGAAGTCAACCNNTTTTTTTGTCATATCATTTGTAGTTACTAAGTATCTAAATGTCATGAATCATTCCGGAGCGAAATCTACGACGGCGTCAATTTCAGATGAATATATTGATGTGGACGGAGAAGTTGATAGCGGTCGTCTCCAGCCCAGCTCTTCACGAGGTAACTCTATGGAATTTGTTCTGAAAATTCGGCTAAAAGTCTTTTTTTCAAGAAGTAGTTGTCCCCCCACGAAGAAACTATGTTCCAAGAGGGACCGCTCTTTCTAAAGAAGATGTTCTACAGAAATTGCTGTTAGAGTTGGATTCTTTAAAGAATCAAATTATTGTAAGTAATGAAGCTTATGCAATTCATATGCACCGCAATTTTTTGTCATTCCAGGATTCTGCCAACTCTGTATCAGCTTTCAGTTTGCACTACGTTCTGTTACGTTTGAAAACACTTAGGCCCATGATAGGACACGTTTCGCCATCGCAAAACCGTATTCATTCTAATGGCTACCGAGGTGATTAAACCTTTAATTTTCTGTCAGAAGCTGCAATCTTTAAGCTCCGCCTAATCGCCTTCAACCTTGTAAAAATGTTCTCCGGAGATCTGTTAAGTCAGGTCTTATCATACAAAAAACGTAGATGTTCAAAGCAGTGCTGCCAACAGTACTTTGTTCCGATATCAAGCAAATACGATTCATCCTTCTACCACGCTGCCTAGTTTCATGAGAATGATCTGAGGAGTTTATCAGAAATTGAGAAGAAGCTTCAATGTAAAAGATCAGTGCGAAATCAAACGAGCTCAATGAAGACCATCCGCCGCTCAATCTCATGATGATATAATATTAAATAACACTTTCGTGCGATTTTCGGCATTTGGCGTTTTCAAAGTGAAACGGGGCCAAAGCTCGAGGAAATGCTAACGGAAAGGAGCGATTACTGAGGAACTGAAATCGTCCCGACTTGTAGCTGCATAGCTTATTATTTTGGACCTTTACAATTTTCTATGAAACACCGAAACAGTTATTAAAAACCCGTCCATCTAGAACTGTCAGGGAAGATGAACTTCTTGTGCTCACTCGATTCCTGGCCTCCGGGAAAGATTTATCGATCGCAGTGGAGTCCCTACTCAACTGGATGGAGTGTTATTCTATCTGTTAATCTCTATTTTATGTTCATTTCATCAAAGTGGAATCCTGCACATTTTCGGTTGATGTGGCATGACATTTTGCTTTTTGTGAGCTTCCAGACTTGATGCCTTCAAGGTCGAGGAAAGTATGTGATTGTGTTAGATGAGTTGTATGTGTAATGGGAAATGGAGGTTGCAATAAAAGACGGGAAACATAAGGAAACTTTCTGCCGTCAAGAGTCATTCCATTCTTCATTTCATTATCTTTTATTGCCTCGCTAACAAGTCCACCCCTTCCTATTTTAGGGAGTTATTTGAAAGTGTCATTGTGTTTATCCTAGGTATACGTAACTGTTCCATTACAAGTTTTGAAGGTGGAATGAAAGTCGAAAGATGAATATTTATTTTCGATACTCATTTATAGCAGCGAGTTATTATACTATGCTCACTGATTTGTAACTGTCAGGTGATCCGTGCCAAACAGAAGCGGAATCCTCTTTGAATGGATCTCTGTTACCTTTTGAGGTGAGATTTCATGTCTCGTCTTACTTTTCTTCTTGTTAATACAATGACGTATTATAGCAGTCGCAACGTGTTTCAAGGGCTGAGCATTACCTGGTACGTCTGTGCTGTTGAAGGCGCATATTTGTTTGTTGATGATCTTCAGTAGTTCTCTTCAGGTGTTGAGCGACGACGAAGATATCGCGCTTTCATCAGGAGGTGCTTTCGAGTACAACAGTTATATTTGGAGATAGTGATATCTTGATGAAATAACCATCTTGTTTTCAAAGTTTTGTGTATATAATGTCTCAAATGTAAATTTACGTCTATTTTTGCGCCAACATGTTATGATCTCGGTAATATGTTATAATCTAAAATGTAAATAAAAAGTTTGCACTATTTGTATGGTTCTGAGAATAGCACGGTTTCTTTCCGTGATTGCCATTGCTGATAATATGCAGTAGTTGATGATAATTGACAACGCCTAATTTGTATTCCATTGCGGTTATACTGGCTCCTAAAACAGTTCGTGGTGTCATCAGTCACCTACTCTGCAAGGAGATCAGCACCGATGTGCTGCGGAGGCGTTTGAACCTTTTTAGTTCCAGTATTTTCTTGTTACAGATCGAATATGTGCGCTGCAGTCAAGCGGCTTGCAACCGAGTTCTCTAGACTATTATTAGGAAGAAATGTAATGCTGCCTGTAATTCAAGTTCGACCTCTTTCCATTTCATCTACACTCTTGGACAGTATCCGCGATGCTCACCGTGCTGGAACAAAAGTTGTTGGTGCAGCACAGGTGACCTTAATCAAAGTTCTTTCTCCATCATTTTATCACTTGCTTGAAAAAAAGCATTTGTTGCACATTAAGTTGGAGTTGTTTATAGGAAGTTATGGAAGGAACGGCTGGTGCCTCTCGTCTCACNTTAGTTCGACTTGTTACAGATCGAATATGTGCGCTGCAATCAAGCGGCTTGCAACCGAGTTCTCTAGACTATTATTAGGAAAAAATGTAGTGCTGCCTGTAATTCAAGTTCGACCTCTTTCCATTTCATCTACACTCTTGGACAGTATTCGCGATGCTCACCGTGCTGGAACAAAAGTTGTTGGTGCAGCACAGGTGACCTTAATCAAAGCTCTTTCTCCATCATTTTATCACTTGCTTGAAAAAAAGCATTCGTTGCACATTAAGTTGAAGTTGTTTATAGGAANAGGAAGTTATGGAAGGAACGGCTGGTGCCTCTCGTCTCACCGCTGTTAATTTACAAGGTCTGGAGTCGCGACTTCCCACTGCTGAGACGCTAAAAACAGAGTTTGACGGAATTCCATACTGCGATCTACCTATTGTATACATAAAGGCTACCAAAAATAATACTCTGGTTACTGTCATGGACAAGAAAGTGGGTGTTTGAATTGGGTGTGAAGCTATGTTCGAGCCAATCCGAAACAGCACCACCATTTGAATTTCTAAATGGTTTTGGAGGTTTCTATAAATAAGTTTTTGAGAACCACGTAATCATCTATACGTCTTGTCGCCTGGAAGGATTTAAGCATGCTCGTAAAAAGACTACCATAGCTGGCCAGACAACTGGAGTCGCAGCTGGACAGCGACTTGTCCGGAGAGGAGTTCGAACTGTACGAGTACAGGTAGGTCAGATGTCGGTGGTAAAACTGTCAAAGTGAAGTTGTAACAGCATTTTCTAGGTGAAAGGGCTTGGTCCCGGCCGTATGACATGTGTTAAAGGTCTAACGGTTGCTGGTGTTCATGTGGTGAGCATTACAGATCACACTCCTCTGAAAGAACTCGGTCCAAGACCGCGGAAGATTAGGAGAGTTTAGAAGTATTCCTTATTCTACAGTTGTTTCAGTTGTTCAATGTTCTTCATAGTTGGAATAAATGTAATTGTTTTCCCCATTTTTTCTTTTGCGACTATCGTGAACTGGTAACCTCGTGGAGATTATTCCGAAAATTACCATAGTGCCGTATTGATCAGTTCAACCGTTCGTGTACACTGTAGAACTGCTCATTCCACTGTACATACTCATCTATTTCATCCTTTATTCCAAATGTTTCAAGAAAAGGAGTCCGGTGAACCGCAGAGCTGGGGCTGCTTGATTTTCATTATATCGGCGGTATGTAAGTCAATTGCAGAGTTATAACGATGTTCTTTTCTGGGCGAAATCTAAAACTGGGTAAAAATCAACCTTACGATTTTTTTCGTTGTTGAGCGGGAGGATAAACAATCAGTGTAGGTTTTGGTAAGGCTAGCAAGAAATGTTGCGTCAATCGGGAATTGCTTTCTCGGAGACAAGATCAGGGAATATCATAGTGCGTACGGTAAAGCTCTTTGTCACAGTTGAAGCATTGACAGATTAAGCTGAGATGTATTGTTAACTGTTTATGTGGAGCATGTAGGTGGCCTTCGCTTCTGAGGTTATTAGTTGAAGTGGTGTAGCAACTGGACAACAGGCGTAAACCTGACATCTGTACAATGTACACTTCTCAATCAACTCTCTTTTGGTTGAGGGAGGATTTATCGTCTGTCAGTGGGAAGTCGATCTCTTTACTGCAGCTTCGTAAAGTGGCATCGTGGGGTTCTGTAAAAGGCGTTTTCACTAGTAGTCGTGAGGAGTTTGTTGCCAGTTCAACGTTGCCCCTGGTCGCCGCGTAACGGCCAAAAGCACGAAGGGCGTCAACTTTGAAATTGTTGAGATCATAATCACCATACTGTATCGCCGTAGCTCAGCGGGGAAAGTCTACCGTAGTATATCCCAGAACCGGGAGCTTCACAATGTATGGCTTCTTCACGGAACAAGGAAATCGTTGTAGATCAGTGGCCATTTTCCGACCTTCTGGTAAGACACAATTATCTTGAAGGCGTTTGGTCGGTTAGACGAAATCAAATGCAGAATCGGAGCCAGGAATTCAACTGAAGCCATGGGCCTCCATTTTTTCGCCATTATACCATTAAGTAATACCAAAACTATGGCCAACGTTTTGCGACTTCATAGAAGCAACATAATCACCGCACTGAAATTCGAAGATTAGCGATGGGATGCCTAAGTTTTTTGGGAATACAGCGCGCGTTTCCCTTCCCATTCAATCTCCGCTTTCCTCATAGTCCATAGTTGGAGTAACAGTGCCTACCACCTTGTCCGAATCTATGAGACATTATATGGGGGAATGTGACTGTTATTACTGTAATGGTGGCAAAATGAGCACGGCTGAGGAGAGGGCTCCGCAAATTTAATCTAACTGTGCTTAAAGGCACCGTTAACGATAAATTTAGGGTACCCTTTTTTGACGGGAAATCGATAGAACTACTCTAGAATAGAGCGATAACAACGAAAAAAGCGCAAAAAGCGATGAACAAAAGGAAATAGAAAGGGTCAAAAAAGAGCTGGAAAGGGGGGTTGGACGAGTTTCACATTGGAAGAACGGCGGTTAAGGGAGTGTCCGGGCGAGTGCGGGAAGGCCACGCAATGTCTGCAATAGCAGACAAGACACCCAAGCCGACAACTTCGTTCGAATGCGAAAGTGATGAACGGCAATTAGATTTCGTAGTCAGCCTGGCGAGGGGCGGAGTCCTCCCGTCCCCCACTGTTCCTGTCCTAATTGTGCCCTATCCAGACCGTTTTCCGACCTCATTCCTGCACAAATGGTATCAGAGGGGGCGTCGAATTCAAACCATGTGCAGATCTCCGGAACCATTTTTTCGTGAACAGTGCCTTTAGCTTGTCGTAATTGCAGCATTACTCATAGAATAGTGTCAGAAATAGTGAAAGTGGAAAGGATTAGTCGTTTAAAGTTGAACCATCCTTATTTGAGATGCATGAGGGGCTTGATTTTTGGTTGTGAAGACAATCCCGATTCAGATCTGTTAGCTTATAAATTGGCTTACCAAAGGCTACACATATTTAAATGGCTGTTTTGATCCCCTGAGACAGATTGATCATTAGTTCTTTCAAAAGCCTCTGCTGGTCGTTTTGTACCAAACTCGAGCTGCACGCTACATAGTATGTATGAACGCTGAACGTGGCCAAGCTTCGCAGCCATCTCGCCTGTTTAGCCCTCGAACTCATCTTGCCTAATACGGTAGAATCGCTTCGCTAGCTTCAATCTGGATCAGATCCGGCACAAAGATCTGGAAGAGAAATTTAGCATGAACAGATGACTAACTGTCTTTTTTAGATTACATTCATGAACTTAATGATAGTTATGGTTATACGAATTCTGCTGGATTCGGAAGATGAAATCAACGAGCCCATAATCAAAGGTTTGCGTGATGGTTCGGTGATCTCTTAAAACAGAATCGATCACCAAGTATACTCAAGTAAAAAACGAGTCGTAATTTCAGGTGAAACCCGTGAGCATTTGACAATCTTTTTGGGGATATTTACAATGACTTTCTTCTTTGGTTGTTGGTGCTGCTTCTGCTGCGGTTGTTTGGTGTGCAGGTAAGTGACAGTTTGGAATCCTGTGAAGGTAGGAATGAAAGTGCTTCAATTCGATCCATTTATTTGAGATACGATTCCGATTTCTCAATTCTTGAACACTGAATAACTTACATTGAACATCCAGTCAAGGGCAATTCCCTCGAATAGATAGGTATTGAGCAAGAGGGGACGGGGTGGAGGGTGGGGTGAGGGAAGGGGCGGAAGGGGGAGTGGGCGGCGCAAGGGGAAGGGGGAGGGCGGTTAGGAGGGGACCTTGGACATAGTTCGAACTCATTCGCCATTTATTTCGCCACAACTGCCAAAATCTTTGAACAGCACCACATCCATTCTGTGAAGGCTTATTGGAAATAGCCCGAGCAGACATCTAGGCATCGACCACCTTTTTTTTTCTTTTTTCCATATTTCTATTGTATTCTGTTTCTATTGTTAAACCTTCATATTTTCATTTGAACGACTTATAAATTCATTTTTTGCAAACTTCAGTTGGATCCTTGAATGCCCAAATTTCCTGACTGCAGCTTCGTACAAATTCATCTCATCTCATCCCTCAATTCGACGCCGATTTCGAAAAGAAGACGGTAACTGAGATTTTATATTATGGTAATATACATATATGAATACTTTTAGAAGAAGACATCGTTATTGATGATGTAGTCATAGCGGCACATAGGATCCCACACCGAGAAATGCGACGACAACCAACTGATCTGAGGGCATATGAGAACCCAATTCCTTTTGAGCATTTCATGGAAGTAAGTCTACTTGCTATCAAAGTTGATGACGTTAAAATTAAAATTTGAAGACCGGTAGTTCAGAAAAATAAATATAGATCTATGAAAAGTGCGATTTGTATTAGGGTGTAGCGAGCTGAAGGACTACGGGGTCGTCAATGGGTTGGAATGTTTAGCTGTAGAGGTCAAGGAGTATTAGGAAAAGGAGCAAAGCTGTAGGAACTAGACAGAATAGTGTTCCTCGGCTTGTTCTTGAAAACGTTGTGCCATCAGTATACGGTAGTTTTGAATGCACATCCTCCTTTTCATAATCATAGTATTATATGCGGGCAGAGGTGATGTAGTAGCAAGTGGGGCACTATTACACACGCATGGTCACTGGTTCAAATCTTGAATCGATATCCGCCAAGTCCAACCAAAATTCCATCCCTCCAGGGTCGGTTGGTTGTTAACAGTCTCGTCTGGAAGGATAAAAGATTGAGTTGTACGTTGGTTAGCCACTGCAGCTCATTGAATAGGCCACATACGCATTAACGTCACTACGATTCTGAATGGAGGTCGAATGCATGGAGCATCCATTTGTTCATCACCCAAAGACTTCAACCTTTCAGTATCATATTAACAAAGCTGCACTTGCGGAACATAATAAAGGAACTATGCGCATTCTATTTCAGCCTGAAGCCATCACTCCGCAACCGATACCCTCCGTGCCACGATTTCCGCTTGGTCGTATGCGATCGCATAGCATTGATGTTTGGTATGCATGAATCGAAAGAATAAAGTGCTTTATATGATAGTAGCACATAATATCACATTCGACCATTAGTTAGGGGTAAACACCTTCAAAGCGTCGAGTTTTGAATTCTTCAACTATATTCCGGCTAAATGACAGGTCTGCCGTCAGTCCACCGTCACAAAGATGGTTGAAACTAAAAGGATCAGGACAGAATTGTTCTCACTACGAACAAAAATAAGTAACTAGACTGCTCATGGTTTCCAGGTTGTCTCTTTCTATGTTTTGAGCAACATTATACATCTGTGCATCTGTGCCCCCTCA